GGAGACTTGTCTCTCCATGAGCTAAGAAGACATCTCTCCATCCTCCCTTCTGCAAAAGCATGTCACTATTCAACAACTATTAGTTACACTCATGTATTAACAAGCAGTATCTCCTGGAAATGAAACTGTGCCAACCTCATCACTAACAAATTTCTTAATTAACCTATTATGCTCTTAGCAACAGAATTAACTGTTGTCTTAGAAATGAATTATTTGGGTTTTTTTTTTTTTTTTGGTCCTACAGTACTCCCTTTATTCTATTATAGGATCAGGATGCTCTTTGATTAGCTCATCATAATTTCCTAAAGTAAGCAAGAGTTTGAGAAACCACCCATGGCACATTATTTCATTGCTTAAATTTGCTATTGACTCTTTTATCCCTTGATAACTAAGTCCTTCCTAACAATGGTGTTAATTATACCAGTCATTTATTCTACAGCTGTGCCTTTTCTCTTGACTTGTTTCATCCTCACAGACAAGATTAGTGGCTTCCCTTTGGAGAAGACTCACCATGGGGCATTACTTGTTGGGGAAAGAAACATTCTCTGCTCTTCAACCTATGCAAGTCTCAATCATTCATGCCTGGAAAATATTTGCTACAATGTGGGTCTTGCTTCTTCAAGAGTAACTAACCCTAAGGCCAGGAATTCCATCCCTGCGATAAAGTGCACATTTCCCATTAAATGCAAATTTTTCACTTGAGAAGGTTGAAAACAGTGCTATTTTAAAAAAGAATTCCAGATGGTTAAATTTAGTGTCATAAAAAATCTTCAATCCAAGAATAGTTTCTGGCTTTGAGCCCACAGTGTTTCTTTCGTTGTGAATTGGTTGGATTTTCATTTACTATAAGCATTTCCTGCAGTGTTTGTTTTCTTCCGAGCATACATATTGATGGCTTGTTGGCTTTAATAGTACTTGTCTTTCCCTTTAAAACGACTTACCTAAATTTTAGTATTGCCAAACAAGTAGGACCTTGATTTTACTTTAATTTTTAAGATTTTCTCAACTGTTTTGCCTCTTCTGTCATAAATTTGAAATAGCTTATTCCCTGCAGCCACCCTCATCTCTTTTTTTTTAATTAAATTTTTTTTCAATTACAGTTGACATTCAATATATTAGTTTTAGGTGTACAATATAGTGGTTAGACATTTATATATAACTTACGAAGTGATCCCCCTGATAAGTCTAGTACCCACCTGGCACTATACATGATTATTACAATATTATTAACAATATTCCCTATGCTGTACTTTACATCCCCATGACTATTTTGAAACTGTCAATCTGTACTTCTCAATCGCTTCACCATTTTTATCAAGCCCCAATTCCCCTCTTATCTGGCAACCAACAGTTTGTTCTCTGTATCCATGAGTTTGTTTTGTTTATTCATTTATTTTGTTTTTCAGATACTTACTTGGTAGGAGAGATACCGTGTTTACCCTCATCTCTTAGTAGGAGAGATACCGTGTTTACCCTCATCTCTTATTAGAAGCCATGTTTGCTCCTCCCCATAGTGCCTCAAAGAGATAGCCTTAAAAGACAAATCTTTGTATTTTTTGCTAACAGGATTTGAAGACTGGACAGTCCACCAATTGTCTGTCCTCCTGATCTGCCTGTGGTCTCCTTTTCTTTCTGTTTAGTTCTTCCTTGGTCCCTTGGCGATGGAAGAAGGCAACTTCTATTTACTGAATGCACGCTTGGTGCTCCTGGGCCCTGCCCTGTGCTTTATAGACATAATCCTACTTGATCCTTCCAACTGCCGTAAAGCTAACTATTATTATCCTTGTAAAGGCAAGGAAACCAAAGAGCAAAGTAATTAAGCAACTAGGCCAAGATTATCTAGCCAATTCGTGGCAAAGCTAAAATTATAATCTTATTTGCCTATGAAAAACTCCCTCTTGTTATGAAACTAATATTCAGAGCCTCTTAAAGAATGTGTTTCTTTCCTTTTTTTTTTTTATTTCTAATCTGCTTCACTTTTACTATCTTCATAACCTAGAAACACAAGAATGACTATATATCCATGAGTTCAATTCTCCACATATCTGATTTATGATATTTTGGCATGTTTTACTTCAAAATGTACCATATCATAACTGGGACAATTGTGTGTGTGTATGTGTGTGTATTTGTGTGTATTTATTTCTAATTAAATTTACCTAAATTTGCGGTCAGTATATTTATTGTCAGAATTCTGCAAAGGTGTCAGGATTTCACAATAGACTCTGTTTCATAATCCTGATTGCAACGTTTGGCTCTACATTTTCCTGGTACAAGATGAAACATGACAATGAACAACTAAGAATGCTGTGCGGAGTAATATGCAGGCTTTCAGCCTTCTGGGTACATACTGAAACGATGTACCAGAAATAAAGCTAACCTATATGATATGTGATATGGAAATGCTAACATCAATGTTTGTCCAGCAATCGATAGATCTGATCAATCGATGGATTTGCTGAGAAATGCCTTGAAAATAACAGGAGCAATGGAAATAGCCAAAATCTGTCAAAACCAGCAGCAGTGTCTTCATCTCACAGGAAGGACAGCTGCTGATTTGACCTGTGATTCTTCAGACTCAGCTCACTGTTCAGAGCTTTTTGGAATTCTATTCCAAGATAGCAAAATTATGGGGTAATTTAATTCTGGGATCAATCCACTTCAGGACAGGAAGATTTACTCCTCTCCTGAATATTCTGAACTCCCTCCACAAAGAGAAGCTATAGTAAAGAACTCTGTAACTTAGTCACCCCAGGGAATAAATCAACTAACAAATTTGGAAGAGAAAGGAGGACTATTTTATGTGGCTTTTAACAAATTTGCTGATTATCTCTAATATATTCTGGGCTGTGAATAGTGATTAGTATATCAAATTAATTCTTGGATGGTTTGCTTGACTGACTGAGTTAGGATATTGAGCAACAGTAAGCAAAGCATCATCTCATCCAATTGGATCAGTTTCTTCTCTCCCACCCTTCACATATCCCCTGTCTGTTCCCTCTTTCCAACTCTAGTAATTAAACCATCTTCTTTCTTGGCACTGTGTGGACCAGAGGGTATATTACGCTGAGGTCTGCCACAAACCTGAGGGATTTTAGGGGAGTTTGAAATTGTATGGAAAATGTAATGTTATGAACAGCCAAGCATTGAGAGAGAGAGAGAGAGAGAGAGAGAGAGAGAGAGAGAGAGAGAGTGTGTGTGTGTGTGTGTGTGTATGAGAGAGAGAGAGAGAGAAGACAGTGTGAAGAAAAAGAGAGAGAAAGAGAAGGAGAGAGAGAGAGAGAGAGAGAGAGAGAGAGAGAGATCGAGAGATCATAGTTTTCATCAAATTCTCAAAGGCCCATGACACTAATAGTAACAAACACTGGTCATAAAAAAAGTAATCATTTAATAATTTTTTACTTTTCTCCCTTTTGTGTAGAAGTCTATCCGTTGATAATATTAGCCAGCTCAGACTAATCTAGGAGCTTCAGGTATATCAGTGAAAAAAATTAGATTGCCGTTCTCCAACCCCTGACCCCCTCAGAGGCTTAAGTTCAAATAGGGGAGAAAAATCATTAGGAACCATTAAAGAGGGTGGAGGGGTTATGAACATGTTAATAATGATGGAGAATGAACATTGCCTTTCTAGATTGGTGCTTATTAATAGCTTTGTGGGGCTTTTGTTTTAATTTATATGTATTTCTTTTTGTAAGAAATTTTTGTAAGCATTTCTCCCCTTGAAGGTGATGGAGAATCCCATGGGATTTCTTTGTCATTCCACTAGTTGAGTTTGTGCAGATGTCCAAGTAGTCCTCAGCTTACATGCCAATCCATCAGGTGCCTGGCTGGTGCACACCACACAAGAGCTCACACTATCCACCCACACTGACGAAAGAGAGAATGAGAGGCATGGGCCTTGACAAGTTTTGCTACGTCCAAAAATGAAATTGATTCAGGTCACTAAGAAACTCCAAGTTCTTTCATTAATAGGCCTTGGGAAATAATAAATCAGCCTATTAGGGTGCAACAGGGGTGCAAATTGGTGTCTCAGTTAATGTAGATAAAGATTTCAGTGTACACTGCATATATCAAAAATTTAACACATGCTGCCTACAGAGTTTTAATGAATACAAAAAGCTCAGTTGCTGAAAACCAACACAACGCAGGCATTACTTCATTTAGCTGTCAATAAAATTGTCTCTTATTTTATTTTCTAATGGTTTATCAATACTGGCAATTTGCCGCTGGTTATAAAAAGGAAGATGGGGGGGGTGGTGGTGGAAAGGAATTTAAATAAGTCCTACTAACTAGAAAAAACTTGGTGAGCCATTTTATTCTGCTACATAAGTTAATGTCCGGATGATGTAAAGGAGCGAAATCTTCATTTCTTCTTTAAACGGCAAACATCACCCTTACTGAAAGGCTACATTATGTGGGGGTGCATTTTGCTCTGGAAGTCTGTTATTGTCTTTTGATAAAGGATGTTATGGCATTGTAATCCAGCCTCTCTTACAGAAATTCTATTAAGGGAAACATTGTTCTGCTTTATTTTGCCACCCAGCTATTCCCCACCCCTGCCGCTCCGCCGTGTAACATAGCTGCAGTGTGAAGTTTGCCAGTAGAAGCCAAATGCAAGATCTCACCTGCCTTACTCATGTTCCATAAAATACTGAATAAACATGACATCGTTTTCTGCAGCAGGGGAGGAAAGCCCATCATTGCATCTGACATGAATAAGCCTTGTCTATTTTCCCAGTGCAGTAAGGGAATGGCTGCTAATCATTGTTCTCACCTGGTAATTATGTCCATGTGAGGAGAAGGACACTGTTTATTTTCCTCTGAATGATATTTATGTTGTTTTTAAAAAACAGATTTATGATAATGAACTAACCATGAGAACTCATTCACTGATTGATTCATTCAATAAACATTTGTGGCAGGCTAATGTATTAATAAATTAATGTAGAAATTAACCTGTGCCTTATTTTATTATTATTATTATTTTCTTGCTTGAGCAGACTCATCAGAAAATGGATGAAGAAGTAACTGAATCCTTCACCCATGGAAGAAGGTCACCGAGGCCTCAGTGTTCTCTGGGCTTCTTTGTCTAAGGTAGTCTTTAACTTTCTTTCTCTCTCTCTCCCTCTCCTCTCCTTCCCCTCTCCTTCTTTCCTTTTATTCCTTTTTTTCTCTGAGGCTGGTGGGGGTGCACAAATTTGATGACTTCTTTACTCAGCCTTTTTGAGATTTCTAGTCCTTTAAAGGAAATGAGTCTAAATATTCTGCAGTTGGCACAGACCAGTCCCTTGCTCATATTTGCACCTTCCAGAGGTGATAGTAGGTGGAAAGGGATCCCTGAGGGTCATCTAATGGTGAGTAGAGTGGACTACAGCTCCATCACCTCCTAGAGGAACAGGACAAACAATGTCCAGGGTACCGAATGCTGACTAATGGCCCAAAGTGAATCCCTCATTTTCATGGGCTGCCTGAACCCAAGGGAAGAAGATGCTCCAATAAAGGACTACGCTATTTTTTATCACCAATTGAAATTTTGAATTCAGAGCAGAATAACTTTTATTTTAGAGAGGTAAAGAACTGTATCATTTCTTGCAATTAGTGTTGTGGAGCAATTTGTATTCGTGACATACTTTTTAAAGTATCTTTTTTGAGCCGGGCCTTATGCTAGGCAGATGGAAAGATCCATTGCTTTTCTTCAAGGAAATCTGAGTCTAGTGGGAAAGGCAGACAAATGAACAGAGAACTATAACACCGCTGAAAGGGTTCTCTTCCAGTAGTGTGAGCAAAAGGCAGGGACAGTGTGGAGGAGGGGTGGCTGAATCTGCTTGTGCCTGGAAGAAGGAGGGTAGAGGAGAGGACAGGAAGGGCAATTCAAAGTGAGGGGTCAGCATTTGCAAAGCCACAGAGTTGTGAAGAGTTGCCATGTACCAGACCCCCTGAGAAATTCCGCTGCATAAGAGTGGGGCTGGAGGGTGCCTGGTGTGAAGTGGCAAGAGCAGAGGCCCTCCGAAGCCCCGGGGGAATGAGTGACACCAATTCAAATAATATTTCAGATTAGTCTCTACCCAAGGAGACATGAATGCTTGAAATTGTACAGCTCACATATAAAAGACACTCAGAGGATTTCCCCAAATTTGACTAAAATATTAAAAATGTACACAGCATTGCCAATAATGAGTTGTGACACTGAAAGAAATTTTCTAAATTATCATTAATAATAAAAAATTTTGATCAACTCTGTTTCAGGAAAAACTGAATTACTTTTCTAGTCTCTCTTTAGGAAAGACTAATATAGGATTTTGTCATAAGATTATATAGCCAAAAATATAAAATACGAGCATTTATAGAGGTTTGTCAAGCAGATAATTAACACACATCTTGTTATTTTTTCCTAAATTTTGTGATACTTCTGGCATTTGTTGGCTTTTAAAAGTTGATATTTTTATGCTTTATTTTCTCATTTTAAATAAATATTCACCGTTGATCTAGTTGTGTAGTTATAATTTTGCATTATTATTCTTAAAGAAATTTCCTCAAATTGTGTAAGCTTCATGTCCCCTCAAACCTAGGTCAGCCTCTAGGAGCAGAGACTGGGGAGGTAGGCTGGGACCAGTCTGGAATCTGAGCCTCAAGAAATGGTGGAGGACCTTCATGTTCCACCGAGGCTTCATGTCGTCATCTTACTGAAAAGGAAACTGTGCCCAGAGAAGTCAAGTGACTTCCAAAGTTTTCAGAGCCCATTGGTGGCACACCCAAGAGTAGGACCCCATCTCTTGCTTCCCTGGCATGTCATCTTCTTCATATTAAGGTCTGCAAAGGGTGAACATCTGCATCAGATAAAGGCACACAGGAGTCACAAACAAACTGATTCATTTGTTTTGGCCAGTGCAGTGCTTAAAAGATAACCCAATGTTAACCTTTAGGCTAGGCATACTTTCTGTTGTTCATCTAGTCCCTTCTACACCCATCCCCTTACACTTGGGTTACAGATGTACTTGTCCTGTTTAGTTCATGAAGACATCTGAGTTGGAATAATGGTGCTTGGAGAGCAGAGAGGTTCTGAGGCTGCAGGCTCAAGACATCATCTTCTTGTGTAGTATTGCTAAGAGACGCATTCTCCCATGCGAATCTGTCACAGCAACACCCATCTGTAGCTTTGGTCTTTAAGTTACTGGACAGGAAAAGAACAAAAGTCACATTTTACCTGCCAGTCATCCTCAGTGGTCTGTGGACATGCAACCCTGGACAGAGAAGCTAGAGAAATTCAGGTTCTTTGAGGGAGAATACTGCCAGTGAAGATAGTCAACCCAGTCAGAGAAGACCTCGGCAAAAGACTTCTTGTATTTAGTTTTAGCCCTTGGCCACACTATATCTGGCCGTTTAAGTCTCAAAGAAAATACAATATTGCAGGTGTTCTCAGGATAATAAAAGCGTAAGAGCTGGTATGTTTTCAGTTATGAAAACAGCTAAAAATTCAATAACAAAGGACATGAATCCAAACCATTATATTGCTGTAGAATTCTGGCTGATACACATGGGAAACACTCTTGTTAGCTATTAGCCAATGCACACTGGGAGATAACCTAAAAATGGTCATGGATTTGGCGCAGCTCTGTTCTCTCATGATGTCAGGCTTTAGGCTTTTCTGAAAGTAAACTTGGACTTTGGATTATTTTGCTTGGGAACATACTTAAAGACTTAGAATACATAGTATACATAAGGTATTGTGACCCTCTGTATTCTTAAGACTTGTCGACATTTATCTGAGATCTAGCTACATGCCATGACTTTATGTTTATTACCTCAAATTCACATAACAGTCTTGTAGTCTCTTCATTTTACAAACAAAAACCTTGAGGCTCAGAGAGGTTATTACAAAGACCACATACTTATTAATAATAGTGGGCTTAGGACTAGATCTCAGTTCTAACTGGTTCCAGAGCCATCATATACTGCTACCTCAACACAACTGCCATAAAGGAAAGCCAAAGCCAATGCACACCAGTGAGCAGGACTTCTCTAAAGACCTATGATGTACCTGGGTAGACTTAGGTCATCACCCTTGAGGCTGGTTCATTGCATTTAATTCTAGGCTGTGTTGTGAGCTTACACGGATTGTTTGGGAGCTGCCTTAATGTTCAGTGACTGCTTCCTCGTGAACATAGTTACTTTTTTTTTTCTCCCGGGAAGATCTGGAACACCAGGAAGCAGGGTCACTGAGCCACCTTGTGTCCATCTCTGGGGACTACAGCTTCCCCCCACTCCAACATCTAAAGATTTGGGGGACCCTATCTTCCTTTGCCACCACCATTCTTGCATCCTCATCCAGAAGAGGCTTTTCCTATTCTTCTTTATTTTTTTGGTCACTCTTTCAGAACAAGCGTTGCCTATGGTAGACAGACAAGCTGCTGTCTTAGATTTGATATATTTGATGTGAATGACCTGAAAGTATTTAAAACAGTTGATAGTCACAAAAATAAATTCTACAAGAAACTCAAGGCTCTATCCCTCACAAGCCCCCACCATGGTCTTGCAAGGAAAAGGAGTAGATATGGATCAAAGACAAAATTGAATTTTCAAGGACACAAAATGTTGCTCCTAGAATAGGGGGTGGAATTTTAAGCAGGAGATGTAAAGTGATCATAAATAGAACAGAGGCAATATTTTCTAAGTCATTTTGGATTCCATCTTGCATCTTTTTTTTTCAGCCATGTGGAAGCACAGAACAAAGTCCGTATAGTGATTAAGAGACTGCTCCAAATTAGAGGTACAAGGGTGAACTCATGATTTCTAAAATATTTATATGTGTATATGAATGTATATGTGCTTACATAAATGTGTATATGCCAGTATGCATGTATGTGTCTGTATATATGTAAATATATGTGTGTATCTGTGTATATAATGCATATATTACTTTGTCTGCTGAAGAAAACTAGAAGCAAGAAATACCCCAGCTGCAATGAGCATACCCAGTACTCAAATCTTGGTCCCTAATATCATTTTTTACTAAAAGAACAAGGACTCCTCAGAGAAATGGATGAATCTAAGACTGTGGAAGGAAAATTTCTAGAGAATCCTGGAACATCTTGTTATGTCAGGAAATAAGAAAATGTTAAAAAAAAAATGATAAGGATCTTTCATAAGGATAAGAGAAAGCTTGAAGTGGCTCCCACTGCTCAAAGCTGGAATAATTTGAATGCTAAAATAGAGTATGAATGTAAACCACTGGGAAAAAAATAGAAATCCATAAAACTGTACTGATAATAAATAGATAAGTAAATAAAAGGAGGAAAAGCCTGGGCTCATACTTAATGCAGAATACCAAGAGCCGATTAGTAAATGTGAAGGGACCATAAGAGTTAGAAAATCATTTTATAAACATCTTAATTAAGAATAGTTCAGGCAAAAATCTTCAATGGATACTTAATCTGGGGGGAAATTTTGATGAGGAGCAGGATATTTTCATGTTCTTAAACTGACTTCCCACAGATTGCTTATTAGTTTCAAAAGGAATAATTATAACTGTATGGCATAGAAATCAGACAACACTTTGATTAGGTAAACAGAGTGAAATCATCAATGAAGAGCAAATAAACATTGTATACGCCCAGACTATGATACTCTGAGAAATACAATATCACTTTTGGATATTCTAGCTGGAAACGAATTTTTTAAATGTGATGGTGAAGAAACATTAGACAAACCTCAAATCAGGTATTTTCTATTTGGAAAAAAAGGAGGAATTAACAATATTATTTAAAGTGTCAATGTCATACAAGAAAAAAAAAAGGCTAGGGAAATGTTCTAGATTAAAGGGAGCTAAAGAAACACGATAACAAAATGTAATACCCAATGCTAGACTGAATCCTGTACTAGAGAGAAAAAAATGATATATATAACAGACATTTTGAGGTCAGTTGGAAAAATTGGATTATAAATGTAGATTAGATTAAAATTTTATATTAATGTTAAATTTACTGAATTAGATAACGGTGGTATAGTTATGTAAAAGAATATCCCCATTTTAGAAAATATGCATTGAATTATTTCAGGGCAAAGGGGCATGATGTATTTAACTTTCTTCCAAATAATTCAGGAAAATAATAGCATATAGAATATCTCTTTTACATAATATAATATAATATATAAAAATTATATGCAGATAGAGATGAGTGAGAGAGGGTTCAAGGAGTGTGGACAAAGCAAATAGGGTAAATATTAATGAATAATAGCTGAATCTCAGTAAAGAGTAGGTCAGTGTTTTGTACTATTTCTATTCTTGATTGTTTTTTTGTAGGTTTGAAGTTATTTACAAATAAAAAATTGAGAGACTGTGTGTGTGTGTGTGAGAGAGAGAGAGAGAGAGAGAGAGAGAGAGAGAGAGAGAGAGAGAGAGAGAGAGAAAGAGATATCCAGCATTGATTACCACGGTTACAAATCTGCCTGTTTACTAGCTATGCAATCTTAAGCAAGTTATGTAATCTCTCTGTGCCTCAATTTCTTCAACAAGAAAGTTAAAATAATAGTACATGTCCCATAGGGTTTTTGTAGGAAATAAAAGAGATAATGAGAATGTTTGTTACTATTGACTTGGATGTCTTTTTATTAAGGAGGTGCCCTAGCCTTGGGAGATAAATTAGGAACTTGGATTGAGGCTTCAGGTTTGAGGCACAAAGCAAACTACTGAGGCAGGTCTGTAGCCGAAGATTTAATCAGTTAGGTGCACAAGAGACCGTTGGGAAGAGTATCATTCAGATTATTTACATCCCAAGTTTAAAGATTGGGGTTACACCTGGAGATACAGTAAAGAGTGAGTATATGTAAAATATTCACTTGAAAACCAGCAGAAGTGATGATGACTGGTAATTCTCTAGTCAGATTCTGATTTTCAGAAGCCTGGTGATATTTCTAGAAAATATAGTCCAAGAGGATCAGTCTTGGGGGCAGGGGTGTTGGTGGTGAATATTTTCCAGTAACAAAAACAGCAGCAAAAATAACAAAGTCGATGTTTGGAAATAGGCCAATTATAAATAAACCTGGTATAAGTTCTCCCAAAACAGAGGTTGCCTTGTGAAAAATTCTGTCACTTAAGGGGATGCTTAGATGGCAGTATCAGGCAAGAGGAGAAAAATGTTGGCAGTGTGCAGGAGAGACTGAAGGCTGATCCCATTGTGCCCACGCTGGTTTCCTAATTTGGGTAGTTTCTCTCACAAACTCCTTATTCGAAGAAAGCTTTGGCAGTGTTATGATTAGAAACATAATGCATTCCACATATGCCTGGAAGCCTGAAAGGCCAAATTTCAGGGGTTTAAGTGATGACCACCAAGGTGGTCCCCTGGAAAGCCACCTTGCAGAGACACTGGATCAAGTCACAGATTCGCTGGCCAGTTGTGAATAATGACTCTTATTAGGGGCCAGGGCAAGGGCTTGGCAAACCTCCCTCACTCCTCCATTTCCCCCTCCTTCAGGACTATGGGAGAGGGGAGGAATATGAAGGAGGCCCTTAGTTTGAGACAAAGGGTGTGAGGAATCAGAGAGTAGAGAAAGGCTTCATGAGTTCTTTCTTTCTCCTTGCTACCTTATTTCATCCCTGACCTTTTCAGTTGGTGTGTTATATTTCACAGTAGAACAACCCTACCTCGCCGGGTCAGAGCAGTGTGGTAAGAAAGAGGCCCAGGCCCAAATTAAAATTGCCCAGCTCAGCTGCTTACTGGCTTGAAACTTGGGAAGAATTAGCCTCTCTGCACCTAATTTTTCTCAGCTGCAAAACAGGGTAATTCCTCCAGGGTTGTTGTAAGGATGAGAGGAGGTGATGAGCATTAAGTGCCTAGGACAGCCTGGCTCCAGAAGGCACTCCATGGGTGGTTGTCAGCATCGTTCTTGTTAGTGGCTGAGTAGAGGCACCGCCTGCCCTTTCTAACTTAGTGTCCGGGTGGCCAGTCTCAGGTCCTAGCATAGCTTTGTAATAATCCATCCTGAAAGGTCCATCAGCTGGATAGGTAAACTTACTTTTTTTCTTTATGGCTTTAATGGTCCTAATGCTAAAACTTGCCTTCCCTTCAACCCTCTGAAGTAGCAAACCAAGCTGAACCTGCTCCTTCCTAAAGTAATTAATTTTAACATTTTAGCAGTATGTTTCTGCTTAAATCGTTGTCTAGCTAAATCACGCTCACACTGATTTACATTTCTTCCTAGCCTTCGAAATTGTCCCACTGCTTTTTCTAGGAGTCAGACTGACCACTCCTGAGCAGATAAGAGACTCAGAGATGTTTTCAGGGCCCATTTAGTCTGATTTTATTATAAACTTTATTATATATATATTGTTTTCAATAAAACCAGACCTTGTTGTGATAGTTGTTTTCATGTTTCCAGTTGAGTCTAAAGCCTTAATGTTTTGGATGAATTATTTTCTCTTTTATCCTATACAATGGTTCAAAGCTCTGTGAGTAACCATCTGATCTGAAATGTGGATAAAATTCCCCCTTATCAACTGCTAGTAAGAAATGCAGCAACAAAAGAACTTGATTTAGAGTCAGAAGATCTTGATTTAAGTCTTGGCTTCACCACTTGCTAGTTCCACAATCAAAGGCAAGTAAATTCACCCCTCTGAGCCTCAATTTCATTTAGAAAATTGAGATAAAAATACCTTTGCCCAGGGTAGTGTTGAAATGGTATAGATGGAGTTTTGGTAAACTGTAAAATGCATGCCAATGTTAGTTTACCTTATTGTAGTTATTTATTTATTTTTCACTGTGCAAATGAGGATTTTCAAGAGGGAGAAAACAATTTCTGTCTTCCATGTATGACGATTTTTAAGTTAGACCCCATGCCTTTTCTTATTTATTCTTACCTTCTCTGCTGATGACTGTGGCTTAAACCTTTATACTTCTCTACTAACTTAATAAGTTAACAGTATCTCCCTCTTTTGAAAGGACAAATGAGCCAATAGATAGGAGAGCATTTTGCGCTCCGGGGAGGAAACGTGTTCGGGACATCTAAGGTAGCACTCTTATTGTTGGTATTATCCACCTGGATCATTTTTTTGTGCTGATACAGTAACATCATCACCACCCAAAGTGGAAAAAAATAAATTATTGATGGCTTTGCATACTCATGCTGGGTTCCGGTAAAGGCTTGTGAACAACAAAGACTGGAGCTGAACCCTCCAAAGGAATAACAAAGGGGGCTGGGGCACAGTGGAAAGGAGACCTGTGGGGATCGGTTTCCAACTGCATTGTGGCAAAATGAATAATTCAGGAATATTGTTTGGGGTTAGGTATCCTTTTCAGCATTTTAAAAAAACTCTCTTTTACCATGGTGAGATCACATACCTATTCAATATCATGTCAAGGATTCTTTCTTGACTGTAGTGCTGTATGATAGCAGGGTAAAGAATGTGATTGTTTCAAATAGATTACAATATGCTTACTACATCAAAATATTTATTACAATTATAATCTCTAAATACTTGAGAAGTGGGTTTTGGATTCTGAAATGTCTAGTATTTTATTGAATTGATTTCTCATCTTGAATGTAAGCATTAGGAGAAGGTAGAAAAATAAGATCCACATGTGATATAGCCACTCAGCAAATCATCTGCAAACATTTTAGTTAGCCACACACATTTTCTAACTTCAAGCATTTTATTTTTTGTAGCCAATAATGTCCTTTAAAACATTGTTTAGAAAACTTTACTAAACTTATTTATAATTTGCCTTTTCCAAAAATGATTTTGAGCAGCCGAAAGAAAGACACATACACAAT